AAACATGTAACTTTTCTAGATTGGTTGGAAGGATTGCTGTGCAGTGAAGATTTAATTTTGTAACCTGTTAATAAATAGGTGATGGATATGTACGTGAGTGGGAAGGAACTGCATCCGAACAATTGTTTTTTTTCCCTGAGATGGTACCTTTTAAGATCTGTCTTCTATAATTCTCAGCATGCGAAGGTTGTGCGGAAGCAACAACTCCTCCATGTTTGTTTTTTAATGTTGATAGCCTGCAGTCAGCTTTGCTTGTTAGCTAGAACAAAGTACATATCTGATGAAGTGAGTCGTAGCTCACGAAAGTTTATGCGCAAATAAATTTGTTAGTCTCTAAGGTGCCACAAGTCCTCCTTTTATTTTTTGTAAATTCATATTGTGGTACTTAAGACATCTGATAGGAAAAATGGTGTACTTGCCTGGTCCAGTTAGATTTTAGAGTCTTCTCATGTGAGAGTAGTTTTAGTTCAGCTGGCACGCTTTTGGAAATGCCAAAGTCTTACCTGTTTTTCCCAGCTATATTTCTTCTGCGCCAGGTTACTGTTGCTACTGTAGCTTTTGCTGTGCAGTCTTCTAATTGTCAGGGGATGTATGAATCTCTAGAACATTGCTGGCAACCAGCTCAGGTCTCTAAGAGGTAAAGAGGAGCACTGTGGGGTGGAGCTTTATAACATCTGAGTGCAGGGTACTCAGAGAAGAAATATAATCACCACACACACTCAACCTCCTAGATTTTCTTCGGTGAGAAAGAGCAGCCGGAGCTGATAGAAATTTCTTAATAATTGCATGTGACATCAGATTCCTTGAAGTAATGAGAATATTTTAAAGGTCTCTTTTCTGCTTAGGATTCACTGTAGTTCAGGGCTTTTTTCAGTTTTTTGAAATATATGACAAAGAACCATGAAATCCTGGAAAGGCTTTTATCTCTAGAATGGAATTACAATGATAAAATAAAAATTGGAGTCATTGCTTTGACATCAACAAAATTGCCCGTAACTGAAACTGTGGGACTCAAAAGACGAATTTCTGCTTTGTAAGCTTTAGTAAATGGGCTGTGTTTGTGATTACAACTGAAACTGTTCACTCTTCAGACCAGCGCAATGGAGTACATACTTCTTGTCTTATATTTCTCTTTTTTTATCTGTCTGTGTGCTCTGGTGTGCCTATATTTTTCTGGCTGCCAGGAAATGACTTATAAACACAAAGGTAAGAAGCTATAAATTAATAGCTGATTTGTTCTAATTACAGCGTAATTCAGTTCATTGTGATTTAGCCACTTCTCCTGTTTTGATTTAATCACTTGAAAATAATGTGTGATACTTAAATTGTGTGGGAAGATGAAGCCACTGAGGCTATATAGAAATTAGGTGGTTCATATGCATGTAGACCTATCTAATTCAATTAAATGTAGTACTATTATATATATAGATATTTGTATGCAATAACATCTATATATTTTATGGCACAGACTCTGCATCACAAATTTTGTCAACATTAATCAAATTGACTAGTTTTGACTCAACAGGAATCACCACTGAGATACAGAATATTTTGTAGATCTTCATGTTCTGAAAATATATTTACTCTGTCATAAGTCCTATTGAACTTCTAAACATTAATTGCAAAAATGTAATGCACAATTATACTGTAAAAGTATGTGTGAAAACATTGGTATAGAAATCCAAAATTACATCCTAATTTGCACTAATTATTGCCAAATATTTCAGATTTTTCTTATGCATATTTTCAGTTATTGAGATGGACATTTTACACTGACAGTTATGATCTGAACTTTAGGATTGCATATGTGTACACAAAAATAACACCTTTAATTAACAACTTTCTAGAATTACAAACAATATATACAAATACAATTTCAAGAGTTTTACACATTTTAAGAAAAATTCTGACATAAATAGTATAGTTAAAAAGAGCAAGCAGAATAATAAAAGGCACATTAGAATACATATATTTTAGAAATCTATTTTAAATCAGATTTTTGAATTAATAGGTATGATCTTTCATGATCTCTATGTGTGTGTGTGTGTGTGCATATATATTGTTTATCATAGTATTTATTATCAGGTAGTAAAATTTTCTTAACACTTTATCAACTTTGGGTCAACTGTCTGTCTGATTTTTTTCCCTCTAGCTGTTTTCCGGTCAGTTTATTTGTTGTGTGTTGTATATGAATCCATTTTTATAGCCAATTGCTACAAATATTAGACTATCACACTTGCAACAATAAATAGTTATTATTAATAATGACAATTGTGTGATTATCTCATGATGTAATTCATAAATATGCCATTAATGTGCAATGGCTAAATACTACATTGTGTCCCAGCAAGTATGTAATCAACGCAAAAACAAACAGGCAAATTCTCCATTCAGGCGTAGTAATTAGCAGTGTTTATAAAAAGTAAATGAAACAGATTCGCTCTAAACCCAAAATATTATACACAAATATGTGTAGTATTTAGCAATCCTTGACTATCCTTGAAGATTTTGAGTGTTTCCATGCCATGGGAATTTCCCCTATCTAATTATCATTTGCATTATTTATTACAATGTCTGGATATTTCCTGGAGGCCTGGTGCCAATGATGTGTTTAAATATGCTGAGTTTAAATGTTTAAATATATCTGTATATTGATAGTTCAGTAGCTATTATTTTTAAATAATCCCTGTAATCAACAAGGCTCTATTACATAAACCAAAAGGACCAATCTTTTGTGTTTGTTTTTATTCCCTGAGATCACCTCTTCTTAAAGCAACAGGTATTCAAGCTGAGTTATTTATAAATCTAGCTATGGTTTGTCTCAATATTTGCAAAGAACATTTCAGTGTTGATGAACACACTTTTGTCCTGAGTTTAATGATGCTACTGATGCTCCCTGTAGGTATTGCTGGGTGTTTCTTCAGTGGTTCACATACACATTGTGCACCATGATTTATTTGTTCTTTTCTAAAGGACTTATAATGAAGGAAAACAAACTTTCTCTAAAGCTAAGGATTATGAAGAATGTGAATGCTAGAGGAGAGAATTAAAATTCTTGGATTAATTTCCATCTTAAATGTCTTGTCTTAAACATAGTTCTAACATATAACATAGAAAAGTTCTAACATATAACATAGAAAAGTTCTGGAGCTTACTGAATAACTAAAAATAGCTGTGTACCTGAGCAGGTTTTAGTACTTAAATCCCTTTTCTTTTTGCCTCCCTCTGTATAGATTGGGTAGCAATTCCTAATGACCCAATGGATTGGAAAGGGAAGGCTGATCTCTAGAGATCTTTCAAGTGCATGGGTCTATATTTGTGGCCTCTGCAGAGTTATGAAGAGTCCAGGCTTTATTCAGGTTTCTACTTTCTTTCAGTTTTTGAACTTTTTTCAACATGAACATAACATCTTTGAAAGGGGATTTTTATACTAGAAACATTAGGCTCTTAATTCAGTCTGTGAGTGAAATTTTTAAGTATTCTAAGGGTTTGTCTTCACAGCAAGTTAGCTTAAGTTGCTCTGCTCAAGTCAGCCTAGCGCAAGTGAGAGTGGCAATGCTGCAGAACAGTAACACCTTGCTCTTTATTGTGCTTTACATCAGTATATCTCAAAACACTTTACGAAGGGGTCAGTATCACTCTCTCCATTTTACAAATGGGGAAACTGAGGAACAGAGGTGAAATGTCCAGTTCACCCAGCAGGCCAATGGCACAGCCAGGAATTGAACCCAGGTCTCCGGTTCTCTACCCAGTAAGCCATGGTGCCTGTCTCAACACTCATCCTACGGAGAATGGTTTGATTAGCAGCACAGAATGATTGGTTTAGCAGTTGATGAGTTGTGCTAATTTAAGCTGTGGCCTGTATCCCCTCCTGCAACTGTTGATCTTCAGCAGAACTAAGAGAGTTTAACTTTCACAATTGAATGTCTAAACGATGCTTTTATTTTTGAAGCAGCAGAATTTTCTGCAGAGTTACTGTATTCTGGGCATGTATCAAAAACTGAAGTAAGGAGAGCACAGAAAGGTTGATAATTTTAAGACCAGTTTACTTTTTTATCAGTCCTATAAAGATTCATTGCAGTTATGACTTTTTATTTGCCTGCTGACATTGGTAGCTGATCTAATATCTTTCATGATCCGTGTTATGTATACGCTACTTGCCTGTACCTTTTAATGTGGTTCTGTTATATTCTGTACCCATTAATTCAATGTTATGTTATCTGTGATGTAAAAAAAAATTCATTGAAATATTAATTTTCACTAAAGATTAATTTTCCTTAAACATGCTGGTATTTATTTTTTCTTTCTAGAGAATCCATTTTTCTCATTTTTGAAATGATCGTATTTCAGACAAATGAAGATATATGAACTGATATCTTCAAGTTGATTGCAATAATTTTGAAAAATACATATTTTTAAGCTCTACTTTCTGATTTTTTTTGGTTTTGTTTTTATTAATAACGTGAATGACAAATGTCAGTGAATAACTTTTTTGAATACGCTATACCCCTCTTCTAACGCCCTCTTGTATGTTGCATCTCAATAGGTTGGTTACCTAATATCTCAAAACATGGATGATTTTCTGTGTGGTTAAGTGTATTTTATACTTGTGGTAGAGCATGACCGTATTTAGCAGCTATCAAGTGCAATATGCTGTCTGATTCTTTGAAACACTCGAGTAAAAGATGCTGAAAGGAATAATTTCTTTACCAGCATTCAAATGGTGCATACACATGGAGGGAGCAACACTCTTGTCTTCCCAGGCTCTCTCAGTTTGTTACCAGGGACTTAATCCTACAGCCCTTAGTAGGTCCATTGAAATCAACGGGACTGCCAAGGTGTCCCAACTTGAGCCTCTTGTCCTTGTGGGTAAGAATCAAAGCATCTTGAGAGTAAAGCCAGACTAGGATTTACTGAAGACCTTTTTTGCTGTCTATTTAACCAGGTTATAGATTATTACTGAATGTCCTATTAGTAACCTAGAAAAACTGACATTTCAGAGGCATGTTGTGGAGACGTTTTTTGGGTTTGACGAAGAATCTGTTGACTCTGAAACCTCATCTGTAACTTCATATAACACGGACAAAACAGACAGAACGCCAGCAACACCAGAAGAAGACTTGGATGATGTAAGTAACAAAGTGTCTTCATAATAAAACATACAAAATGAATGTTAATATTTTTCCTATTTCTCTGTATTTCTGCATTTGCAGCTTAAACAGTTGTTTTAAGTCTAGTAAAAGACTGGAAATAAGGTGTAAATTTTTAGCAGTAGGAGTAATTAACTTACTGGAACAACTTAGCAAGAGTCATGGTGGATTCTCTATTACTGACAATTTTAAAATCAAGATTGGATGATTTCTAAAAAATATACTCTGGACTTATGTGGGGGAAGTTCTGTGGCCTGTGGTGTACAGATCAGACTAGATGATCACAGCGGTCCCTTCTGGCCTTGAAATCTATGAAAAATACACTAATTTAGCTAAGCCGTTGCAACCCAGCTAATAAATGACAGCATTAATGTCTGTCTGTCTTGATGAGTTCAGAGTTAATTAAATCAGACTTGGTAAATATCAGCAGTGCTTGAGAAATAGAATTCCTTTTATCACAATATCTCTTGCTTGTCAAAATAAGAAAATCAATTGGCACTTGCACTGACAAAATCCATGGCTGCTCCACAATAGCTATTCCTAGACTATTATGATTTATTTGATTATTTTGGTACTGTCAGGCCCTTCTCGCTACGCTTTTGATATCGAGAGAAGTTTTGTCAATTTATTAAGGCTTAAATAGTAAATATATGTAGACATGTTTTTGCTGGACCTGTATGTTATGCACTGCAACCGGGCTACAGTAAGGACTGGCAAGGCCAAGGACAAGATGTAAAATCAAGGTCTCCCTATCCTGTTTGCTAACTCATATGTTCCAGCCTTCAGTTATACCCTCTCTATCTCCTATTCCCGTCCCCAATTCCCCTACTCTACCCAGTTTATTTTATTGTTAGTTTGGGGTTGCCTAACCCTTGTGATTTTTGAGTCTCATGATATTGTTTGGGGTTTTCTTTCTTGGAGCCCCAGTTCCTGGAGTCAGGAGAATCTCCGCTTTCATTTAAAAAAAAATTCTAGCCCTCATGATTGTGGAGAAAAGTTTTAAAATATGAAACCCAGAAGGCAAATGAAAAGACCCCAATGTTTACTATTTTAAAAGAAATCTTAATGATTTTTAAGCCAATGTCATGATTTTTGGACGTGGCATATGTTTTTTGCAAGCCTGGAGTTGGCAATACTGTTGTTTTACTTAGAGCTCTGTAACCAGTATACAACTTTTGCTCATCATCCTGTATTTAAATTACTTTGCCCCAAAACCCTCAGGTTAGATGACTGAGAAAAGAAGAAAAGGAGTACTTGTGGCACCTTAGAGACTAACCAATTTATTTGAGCATGAGCTTTCGTGAGCTACAGCTCACTTCATCAGATGTTTACCGTGGAAACTGCAGCAGACTTTATATACACACAGAGAATATGAAACAATACCTCCTCCCACCCCACTGTCCTGCTGGTAATTACCTACTACTACAGGACAGGCCTAACAAAGAAAATAACAGAACGCCACTAGCGGTCACCTTCAGCCCCCAACTAAAACCCCTCCAACGCATTATTAAGGATCTACAACCTATCCTAAAGGATGACCCAACACTCTCACAAGTCTTGGGAGACAGGCCAGTCCTTGCCTACAGACAGCCCCGCAACCTGAAGCAAATACTCACCAACAACCACATACCACACAACAGAACCACTAACCCAGGAACTTATCCTTGCAACAAAGCCCGTTGCCAATTGTGCCCACATATCTATTCAGGGGACACCATCACAGGGCCTAATAACATCAGCCACGCTATCAGAGGCTCGCTCACCTGCACATCCACCAATGTGATATATGCCATCATGTGCCAGCAATGCCCCTCTGCCATGTACATTGGTCAAACTGGACAGTCTCTACGTAAAAGAATAAATGGACACAAATCAGATGTCAAGAATTATAACATTCATAAACCAGTCGGAGAACACTTCAATCTCTCTGGTCACGCAATCACAGACATGAAGGTCGCTATCTTAAAACAAAAAACTTCAAATCCAGACTCCAGCGAGAAACTGCTGAATTGGAATTCATTTGCAAATTGGATACTATTAATTTAGGCTTAAATAGAGACTGGGAGTGGCTAAGTCATTATGCAAGGTAGCCTGTTTCTTCTTGTTTTTTCCTACCCCCCCCCCCAGATGTTCTGGTTTAACTTGGATTTAAACTTGGAGAGTGGTCAGTTTAGATGAGCTATTACCAGCAGGAGAGTGAGTTTGTGTGTGTATGGGGGTGGGGGGGATGTGAGAAAACCTTGATCTATGCAGGAAATAGCCCTACTTGATTATGTAAAGAGTTGTCACTTTGGATGGGCTAGCACCAGCAGGAGAGTGAATTTGTGTGGGGGGTGGAGGGTGAGAAAACCTGGATTTGTGCTGGAAATGGCCCACCTGTTGATGACTTTAGATAAGCTATTACCAGCAGGACAGTGGGGTGGGAGGAGGTATTGTTTCATATTCTCTGTGTGTATATAAAGTCTGCTGCAGTTTCCACGGTAAACATCTGATGAAGTGAGCTGTAGCTCACGAAAGCTCATGCTCAAATAAATTGGTTAGTCTCTAAGGTGCCACAAGTACTCCTTTTCTTTTTGCGAATACAGACTAACACGGCTGTTCCTCTGAAACCTGAGAAAAGAAGGTGCGCATCTCTCTGTCCATGTGCACATGCAGAAGGTCCATGGTGGTGAGCAGCGAGGTCTAATGAGAGTCCTTCAAAATTATGGCACTTTTGTCAGTGAATAAAACTGTGCAGAGTCATATTCTCTCTCATCCCTCCCCATCAGTCTCCGTTCCTTCTCTCTTTCACAGCCTCCCTCCCTCACCCACATGTCTTACCTCAGTTCTCTCATTATCCATTCACTCTCTGCCCGCCTGTCACACAAATGCTTTCCATTCAGCACTTTTCTTTCACTATCCATTTTATTTCTCTCCCTGCCACCCCCATTCATACACACTGTCCCCTGTTCTATCTCTATTCTGATACATACTCTGACTCACTTTTTCTATCAAGCCAGTTTATGCTGCACTCAAATTCTAAACATAAACACAGTTAGGGAACTCTGCATTTTTCTCTCCACCCCAAAGTCCACTTGCCTCTAATCTCTGCTGGCGTTTTAAGGCCACATCAAGCTTTGGGAATCTGTAAGGTTCTCTTCCTACATTTCTGTTTTCTTTTGTTTGTATTCTTTCTTGCTGTTCTCTTCCCCCACTCCTCCAACTCCATATTTGCCATTCAGAACACAAGGGGATGCAAGAATGAGAGCTGACGGGAGTGAGGGATTTTTCTCTCCTTATTCCCTCTAGGGTTCCTGGAGTTCTTTCTCAGGTCTAAGGTAGGGGTAGTGTCCTGCAGATTGAGCTAGTCGCAGCGGGTGTCAGGCACATATTTACTGGAAGGGACAGCTACTAGGAATTAGGGTCTGCCAGTGGGGGGAAGAGTAAACAGTGCTGTCGGAGGAAGATTGGTGCTGTCCTTCATATCTCTATATACATGGGTTTGGAAGCAGTCGTTTAACAAACTTTCATGCTCTGGCTGGTAGAGTCTTTGGCCCTTTTGTAAGCCCAGGTCCTGCATAAAGTTCTCACCTGTCCTTTTCGCTCCCTCCCAGCAATTCTACATATCAGTATCTTTACAGAAACTGACAGATATTTTACATGTTCCACTAGCTACTGCATAATCTCTGAAACTACTGCTAACTTTGTTTTACCTGCCCAGAGAGCTTAATGTTTGAAGCAACAGAAGATGATATACTGTTTTGCTTTTCTGTTCTTTTAAGAGTACGCCTAAAGAAGAGGCTGATTTAAGGTTCTGTCAACTAACCAGAGAATATCAAGCTTTACAAAGAGCATATGCATTACTTCAAGAGCAAGTTGGTGGGACACTGGATGCAGAGAGAGAAGCAAGGGTAAATGATTTTTATTGAAACTTCTCAGAAGTCTGATATCTCTCATGCTAAGTGTGCCTTTGCAGGTCATTGAACTGCATGCAGTAAATGTATTACGTGCTTTTGAGGATTTGATGATAATATAGTGAAACATTTGTTCTAGATTTATCAGACCTGTACAGAAAGGAGGTTTCAGAATGCATCTTATCCTGGCTTTTTTTAATCTCTCTCTCTCTCTCTCTCTCACACTCACACACATACACACACACACACACACACACACACGTTTAAAATAGCCCTGTTTTTAAGTAATGCTTTCTAATTCAAAAAGACAATCCAACAGAAATTGGCCACCTCCATCTGCAGGCACCACCCCCACAGCTCCCATTGGCCACAGTTCCTGGACAATGGGAGCTGTGAAGCCAGCGCTGTGGGTGGAGGCAGCGTGCAGAGCTGCCTGGCCACGCCTCTGCCTAGCAGCTGAGTGAGGGGGATGTTGCACTTCTGGGGAGCCCCCCAGGTAAGCACTACCCAGAGCCTGCCTCACCCCACCCCAGGCCCCAACCTCCTGCTCCCTCCCACATCCAAACTCTGCTCCTGCATAGGGGAGGAAGGCAAGGTGGCCCGAGATTGCGCCAGCAGCGGCCAGTGCATCTGGCACAGGGGCTGCCTGAACTGCAGAAGTCATGGAAATCCATGACCTCCATGACAAACCTACCTGGTGGGTTGTGGGTTTGTCAGGCTCCCAAGCAACCTTAACTCCACCTTGCAATAATGGTTAGCACATATTAATAATAATATCTAGCTTTTTATATAGCATTTTGCAGAGCTTTTTGAGACCTACTGATAAAAAGGAGGCCAGTATCATTATCCCCATTTTGCAGATGGGGAAACTGAGGTACAGAGAGACAAAATAAACTTGCCCATGGTCACCCAGTAGGCCAGTGGTCACAATGGGAATAGAACCTGGATCTCCTGAGTCCTAGTGCAGATCTTTATCTAGGAGGCCATACCAACTTCCTGTTTGTGATCCAAGATCAGATGATGCCTTTTTATCTCTCACTGCTTCTTTTACATGGTTGTTAAGCCACGGTGGCTCTTTTTTAGTTCTTTTACTATGTTGTTTAATTTGGGGTATACATTTAAGTTGACCCTCTATTATGGTGTCTTTGAAAAGTGTCCATGCAGCTTGCAGGGATTTCACTCTAGTCACTGTACCTTTTAATTTCTGTTTCACTAACCTCCTCATTTTTGCATAGTTCCCCTTTCTGAAATTAAATGCCACAGCGTTGGGCTGCTGAGGTGTTCTTCCCAACACAGGAATGTTAAATGTTGTTATATTATGGTCACTATTTCAAAGCGGTCCTGTTATAGTTACTTCTTGGACCAGATCCTGTGCTCCACTCAGTACTAGATTGAGAGTTGCCGCTCCCCTTGTGGGTACCAGTACCAGCTGCTCCAAGAAGCAGTCATTTAAAGTATCGAGAAATTTTGTCTCTGCATTTCGTCCTTAGGTGACATGTACCCAGTCAATATGGGGATAATTGAAATCCCCCACTATTATTGAGTTTTTTATTTTGATAGCCTCTCTGATTCCCTTAGCATTTCATCGTCACTATCACTGTCCTGGTCAGGTGGTCGATAATAGATCCCTAGTGTTATATTCTTCTTAGAGCATGGAATTTACTATCCATAGAGATTCTGTGGAACATGTGGATTCATTTAAGATTTTTATTTCATTTGATTCTACATTTTCTTTCACATATAGTGCTTCTCCCTCCCCCGCCCTCCCGCCACGCCCTGTTCTGTCCTTCTGATATATTTTGTACCCCGGAATGATTGTGTCCCATTGATTGTCCTCACTCCACCAGGTTGGTGCATTTGATTGTTTCCTGTTGTTTTTCCTCATTGTGTCCATTGACTTTGAACATTACTCTTAACGTTCGTGGTCAGAGCCTCTAAAATTTATGATGGTATATAGGAGAGTCGAAGAAAATGTCATGAAAATATTCCACTTTCCAAAACTAATAAGTGGCAATTTAATTTAAATAAGAAAATAAGTCTTCCTGTGCACATCTGCTATCAATTTCTGCCTTTAGTTTGTGCCCTTGCTGTTGGGCACAGTGGATTGCTAACATAATGCCAGCCATGCAGCTCTTAATCACATAATCATGTCTGGCTTTCATTTTTGTCCCCAGGATGAGGAAAGAAGTTATTTTTATTTCTTAAAAATGGACATGAATACATATTTTATTAAAGTAAGATTTCCCAGGAATTTAAGTATTTGACAGTTATATAAAACCATTAAATGTTTTCTCTATGTTAGAGGGAGAGGGAGGCATTGGGGATTCATTTTTTCTGCAATAGCATTTTAGACATTTGGAGAAATGCACTTTTATTATAGAATTTCAAATACTCATTCTTTTTACCCTATGGCCTAACTGGCTTTTTTATCTCTTTAACAGCTGACTGGTCTGGAAGGTTTTCAGTTGGTTATGTCTTAGGCCCAATTCTGGGAGGTAGTGAATGTTCCCCAACATCTATTGGGTGAAATTGAGTGTGATCAGCAAGGGCCTGATCCTGTTCATTACCAAGGGCCAGATTTTTAAAGGTATTAGATGCCTAGAGATGCAGGTAGGTGCTCAATGGATTTTTTAAAAGTGCCTCATAGGGATTTTGAAAATCCCACTTGACACCTACCTGCCTCTCTAGGTACCAAAGGACCTTTACAATTCTGGCCTAAGTGCCTCCAGTTGTCCTTTAGGGATGATGGCCTCAGTACTTTGCAGGAGGCGCTCAGCACCCCATATGTTCAAGCCCCAATTGGGGATGCTTTGCAACTGAAGTAACTCAACATCCATTAGGGAAGTACTTATCTTGAAGAATTGAGACCATATAAATAAAACTGACTGGCTTGTCAGTAGCATATGGCATGAATTCCTATTTTTGGATCGTATGCAGTATTCAGGTACAATGAGCTGTATTTAAGTTTAACATCATACACGTTTTACACACAGCAGACTTATTTAGTACTTATTGCAATACTTTTTTTAAAAAAAGAATCTTGAATAAATGCCAAGTATTGCAAACAGCATCATTACTGGCTTTGTTACTGATTTTATAGCACCAGTTTTTTAGAAAGTGCTTTGCCATTGAAAACGTCAGATTAATGTTTCTTAGTTTATGAAGGAAAAGAGTTGTGTGGAAATGAATGAGGTAAATATTTTATCAAATAAAATACAAATAAACATGTTTGTTTTAATTGAAAACAATTAAAATTCACCTCACTGGCTGATAATGGATAGGAAATATTGAACTTATCAATATTTGATTCTGCAGTAATTGAATATTTGAGAAACTGGAGCTACATCTGAAGTGTACATCCTAATGAGTTGGCCATTGTGACAGCATGTGCACACTTTTATACCTTTTCAGACTCGTGAACAGCTGCAAGCTGATCTCCTCAGGTACCAGGCAAAAATTGAAGATCTGGAGAAATCTCTGATTGAAAAAGGACAGGTAAAAGGCTCTCTTAATGCCCTCTGTCAAATCATCTTCTCTCTTGCATGTAGCAGTGCTCTTGTCATCTTCATTGCTTGCTGGTGTATTCATGTGTCTGATGCAACTTAGTTACCATTCCACCAGTTGGACCACCTGATTAAAGGAACATATTGTATAGACTGGAAAAAACCCTACTGAAGATTTGTCTTCCAAAACAAAACATGCTTAAGTCTACATGCACATGGTTGTTAAAACCAGTTCCCTTTTCTTGCCCAGCCCAGGCCCTTCTCCTTCCTCTGGTTTTCTGCTTTCACTGGAAAAGTTTTGGCCATAATTTCAACAAAATGAATGTTATGAATTTCCCATGTGAGAAAAATATGAGACCATTTTTGGTGCCCTGGCTGGAAGAATTATAAAATTGTTACTGCCACACACATTTCAGCTGGAAAATAAACCACTGAATGTGTGTTTGATTACTGGGAGCTACTTACAACATTTTATCCACATCACTTACATTGAAATTGGGACCTAGATCTAAATGTAGTTTTTTGTCAGTACTTAGCAAGGATAAATCCTGGCTCTTGGCAGATATAGTGTTCAGGATCTTCAGGAAAATAGCACAGAACTATGATTGTGCACTTTAAAGATGTTCAGTTGCATAACTACAAGTACCTCTTCAGAACTTTTTGGATGTATTATTTTTATACTATGTTTATTGTTGAAAAATTCATTTAAAAATTGAAGTGATGCATAGCAATAAGATGAAAAATAGAGATATATCCAAAAGTATATTTGTGAAAGGTGAATAAAACATAACATTAATATAGTAATATTTCATAAACCTTTTTATTTCAAGTTCACTTCATTTTATAATGATTTATTCTATGCAAGATGTATTCCTTAAGAATGCTGCATGAGTAAAAGGAAACCTTTTACCAAATTAAGGAGAATATAAACAATAGTGTTAGCTTGCGCTTAAGCGCCAAGGTTCTTAGTAAATGCTGTGTAAATATAGTGTGTGCGTGTGTGTATGTGTAAAATAAAATAAAACAAAACAACAACAGAATTGTGCAGTAGGTTATAAATTCTAAAATCTTCCAAGTCCCTGAGGGCTCCCAAGAGAAAATAAACTTGTAAGGACTACCTCCTCTTGAGGATCTGCTGTTGTCACTTAAGTATATGGGTAAATAAAGCTGCAGGTATTGAAGACCAATTGCTGCATACCTAAAGCATTAACAAACTATTTGACTCTGAAGATGTAAAGTCTAAACACTATCCATGTAAGTTAGATCGAAGTAAACATGAATATATATGTAAAAAAAATAAATTTTGTGACTTGTTTCCAAATTGATGCATATAACAGGTTTGCTTGGAAATTAGGTTTGATCATTTATTACTTTTTAAGATTCTTAACCACACTACACTCTTTAATCACCCAGTAATCCAGAGAAATTAAATGCGTAAGTGGTGGTGGTATTGTGCAATAAAAAAAATGGTCTCTGAGGGTTTGTATGTAAACTAAGCCTTAAAACATCATCAGAAATCACTCCTGGGGGCTCTGACATATCCACATCTGCTTTCTGGTTGGTTATATGGTAACAATAAATTGTTAGTACCTATATTTGACAAAATAAATTTCTATTTGAAACAAACTCACTTTCTGTGCACAATGTGATTTTTTTTTAATTGTTGTTTAGCTTGGGATAATTATGATTTAGTAGTAAATATGAACTGTTCCCTCTGGGGTGAGGCAGTCCTCTTTAATGCTTAGAGCAGGGCACTATGAATCCGGTGACAGATTTTAAAAAATGGGTGTTTAAAGATTATCATCCTTATTTTTCAGCTAGGGAAACTGAGGCAGAGAGAGTTTACATGACTTTTCTAAAGTTAAACATGCAGACAGTAAAAGAGTCAAGATCAGAAATCTGGGCCAAGATTTTCATAAATAGGTGCCTCATGTTAGGCTCCCAAATCTATATTTAGATGGCTAAATAAGTGATCCCATTTTCAAATGTGGCAAAGGCTCTCATTAACCCCATTTGAGCTCTTTTTGCCAACATTTCCTTTGATGTAAAATAGGAATAATGATAATTATTTACCTCTGTACAGTACTTTGAGGGTCCTGTATGAAAGGCACTAAGTGAAAAGGGTTATTTATCATTTAATAATAATATCACATCTCTCAAAAATATTAGACAACATAAGGCCCTGGAAGGAGATACATAGGGACCTGATCCTGTTAAGTGCTGAGCGCTCTCAGTTTCCACTGAAATCAAGCTCAGACCCCAAATAGCCAAGTTTTGAAAGGATCTTGTTTGTCACACAAAATTAAACTTTTAACGAGGAAATCCATATCAGGCATGTGTTTCACTGTAGATCAAAATAGTCAAATTTGTAGATGGAAAATATGTGCAAAGCAGACTGGAAAGAAAACTGGCCCCTCAGCATGTCAAGTTCTTTCCTGTGTGCTTTGCAGGCCAAAACTGGAGAATAACACTTGCCACTGTATTCCTCCCTTCCTCTGAGCATCGCTAAATGCTTTTTAAATGTTAAACTGCATGTTAGATTGCATTTCTCCAGAATTTACTTTGTCCTTTTAATTCTAGTCAATGCACCTAGTCAATGCAGACTGTGAAGAACTTCAAAAAGATCTCACAAAACTAATTGATTGAGCAACAAAATGGCAAATGAAATTTAATGTGGATAAATGTAAAGTAATGCACATTGGAAAAAATAACCCCAACTATACATACAAATGTTGGGGGCTAATTTAGCTACAACTAATCAGGAGAAAGATCTTGGAGTCATTGTGGATAGTTCTCTGAAGAGGTCCACGCAGTCTGCAGCAGCAGTCAAAAAAGCAAACAGGATGTTAGGAATCATTAAAAAAGGGATCAAGAATAAGACGGAGAATATCTTTTTCCCCTTATATAAATCCATGGTACTCCCACATCTTGAATACTGCATACAGATGTGGTCCCCTCATCTCAAAAAAGATATACTTGCATTAGAAAAGGTTCAGAGAAGGGCAACTAAAACAATTAGGGGTTTGGAACGGGTCCCATATGAAGAGAGATTAAAGAGGCTAGGACTTTTCAGCTTGCAAAAGAGGAGTCTAAGGGGGGATATGATAGAGGTATATAAAATCATGAGTGGTGTGGAGAAAGTGAATAAGGAAAAGTTATTTACTTGTTCCCATAATATAAGAACTAGGGCCCACCAAATGAAATTAATGCGTAGCAGGTTTAGAAGGAAGTTCTTCTTCACTCAGCGCAGTCAACCTGTGGAACTCCTTGCCTGAGGAGGTTGTGAAGGCTAGGACTATAACAGGGTTTAAAAGAGAACTGGATAAATTCATGGTGGTTAAGTCCATTAATGGCTATTAGCCAGGATGGTGTCCCTAGCCTCTATTTGTCAGAGGGTGGAGATGGATGGCAGGAGAGAGATCACTCAATCATTACCTGTTTATGGTCACTCCTCTGGGGCACCTGGCATTGGTCACTATCAGTAGACAGGATACTGGGCTGGATGGACCTTTGGTTTGTCCCAGTATGGCCTTTCTTATATTCATCTTAACTATTTCCTGGCCTTTTAAGAATTCAGTCTAGTAAATTCTTTTGAAACAAATCAAAACAATCCTCCATCTTTCAAAGAAGTAACCTCTACATGAAAATAAACGTGAACTTTTCCAGTCTTGTGTCTGTAGAGGCAATACAAAATTAGTAAATACCCTAAAATAACTGATAATTTTATTTTGTGGCAATAGGTAAAAAATCTGTGTGAAATGTGTCTGCAAAGGTTCATTGATGTAAATAGTTATTGCATCAACATGATTTGGGCTGAGATTTTAAAGCAGCTTTGGACTTATCTTGCCCAGCTCTCATTAATTTCTAATGGGTATTGGGTGTCTGAATCCCTTGCCATTTTAGGAAATCTCAGCCATAATACTGAACTAGACCTATTTTAGATTTCAGATACGTTTTCCCTGTTGTTAGATAGAAAATTAATTGGTTGATTTGGAATAAGTATGTCACTCATGTAAGTATTTGAAGTTATGTTAGAGCAATATGGGCCTGATCTCGCAAACAGTATTGAGCAGTGGTAGTAAATTTTTGCAGGATTGGACCTTATGGGCCTTATTGGACCTTATGGGCCTGATCCAAAGTCCATTGAAGGCTGTGGAAAGGGACTCATTGATGTCGGTGAACTTTGGCTCAGGCCCCCATTTTATCAAATGGAAATACAGACCTTTTAATGGGGAAGGAGGTCTTGTATGATTTCACCTACCACCATCACCTTCCCTTTTATTCCATACCTGAAAGGCTGCACATCAGACTCATTTTCACTGCCAGCTGAGGACTGCTAACTGCAGGTCTCTGAACTCTCGTTGCACTACTTATGGATCATTAAATGCTTTCCTTGCACTTCCCCATAAGGGAATATATAATGGAGCTAAAAGATCTACATTTTAAAGCAGAGCTACTGGGCAAGCTGAAACCCTCTGAGTGACTGAGAAGGCACAATTTCCAATACCAGTAATATTAAACCTCGATGGGCAAATACGTGACAACATATACATTAAATTAACATTGACGACATTACTCCAAAATTGTTAGAGGCTAACATTTAAAGTTTTAATGTGTAAATGATTAGGTTGAACAAAGTAGGAAAGAAGAAAAGCCAAACTAAAAAGAAGCAGGGATTTATTACTTTTTCATCAGTTTTGGAAGTTATTCAGTCCTTAAAATATTTACAACGGGTTTGCTCTTTGATGTGGAACTCATTTTATACTTGGTTGTGCAGTAATGAGTGAAATCATATAATTCTTATTACTGTACTGAGTTCTTTTCTCCCACAGGATTCCAAATGGATAGAAGAAAAGCAGCTCCTTATCAGAACAAACCAGGAGTTGTTAGAAAAGGTATGTGTTCAGAATCTAGGTACCATCTAATCTCTACTCTTCAAGGAAACTGATGTGCTAAGTGTTGAAGTGTTAAGGTAAAATTAACTTTTTTTTTCCTGTCCAAAAACTGTTACACTGAGAGTTTGAGATTAAAGTGTTATCGAATTGTGAGCTCTTTGGGGGGTAAGGGCTATTATGAAATCTATGTTTGTAAAATCTCTAGCTCAGTGAGATGCAATCAGGTTGAAGATCCACCACAGTATAAATGTAAAGCAATAATAATAAAGGAACGGTAGCTGGGCTTTGCCAAAAAAAAGTATAGCAGAACTGGAGAAAAATCTCAGATTATGGTCAGTGCCACTTAATTTGTTCCCTAGTTAATAGGATCACTTGTTTGAATTAAATTTTAAAAATGCAGAACCAAGTATTTCAAGCAAGACTGATCACTTAAAATTGTATTATTGGATGATTTAATAGAATAGAAAATTGCCATTTAGGACCTGAGATGCTGAGTGACTTCTTCAAGGTGCTGAATACCCTCCATGGATTTTGGTGAGAGAGTTGAGGGCGCTCAGAGAATGAGGCCTCTTAATTAGTGAGTTAAAATTATTAATTCAATAAAATAAGAGAGCCAAAGAAAGATCCATGACTAAAGAACTGCCACTTGAATTATACTTTATTCAGACACTTTTATTGATGTTATAAGCAGTGCCATATGCTGTATTAGCTGTCATACACCCCCCCTGTTTTCATATAAATAAGAAGGTCAGACAAGAATGCTTTTGGTTGGACTCAGGAAAAGGTTCTGTAATGTACTTGCAATATTCCATTTTGCTGTTGTTTAAATAGCCTACAGCCTCAAGGCACAACATTTTTGAGCAGGGGGTTGGACTAGATGGCCTCCTGAGGTCTCTTCCAACCCTGATATTTTATGATTTGAGAATTATAATTAGGCCTGAGAGGAAATTGGATTTGATTGTAAAAAGTTAAGTACCGATCCTGTAAGGTGTTGAGAGCACTCAGCACCTCCCAAGATGAGGCCATAGGAAAGAAACATTATACCTTTTGCCCTGAGCACATCACTGAGAGCCAGGAAGTCCTGAATTGTAACAATGGCTCTCAATTTGCTGCATGGCTTTCAGCAAATTATGTAACCTTTCTGTGCTCAGTTGCTCCATCTGTAAAATGGAGGCTGTAAATACTTGCCTGCCAACCTCACAGGGGTGTGGTGAATGTTATTTAGTTAGCGTTGGGAAGCTTTTTAAAGATTTAAAGAGCTAAGTGCAAGTACTATGACTTTAAAAAGTGATGCAAAGTAAATATGAACAGGCTGCTTTAGTTGAAATACTCTTCATTTCTAACCCAGTGTTATTGAGTGTTGAAAGAAGTTCATCATGCATTTTTCCCTTTAGTTGCAGTTTTATACACAACTTCTGATATCTGCTTCCAAAATGGCTTTATGTAGACTTATCTCAGGAAAGCCCCAGGCAAGGATAATCATTGTCCACACTCAGTGAGGAGTTTGTGTCTATTCATGAGCCAGTAAAGTGCTTCCTAATGTGGGTCTCCTTCTTCATTCCCAAGACTTGGGGCCCATCCATCCAACCATGTGGGCCTTACTTGAAGTCAGTGCTTATAAACATTCACTGGTGTGCTTAACTTTATCCACATGAGCAATCAAATCCACTCTAATTGTGATACTAAGATGCATAAAGTAAAGAACATGCATATATCGTTTCCTGGATTTGGAACTTGGTAAGGGATTTTGGGCCCCAAGTTTTTTTACTTAATTTAACTCTTGCTACTATTTTAATAAGGGATTCTTTGATGAGGATTTAATTTAATTTAATTTAATTCAACCATAAGTGTCAAGAATAATGCACTTAACTGAATACACAGATTTTTCCATAGCTTAGTGTTATGATATTTTATTATATCTTAGATTTACAAAATGGAGCTGGAAGAGAATCAGCTGAAGAACGAGATGCAGGATGCAAAAGACCAGAATGAGCTGTTAGAATTCAGAGTGCTTGAACTTGAAGTAAGAGATTCTCTCAGTTGTAAGCTCTCAAATGGAGCAGAAATTGTGTTTGAACCCAAGTTGAAATTCATGTAAAGTTCACTGGTGCATGTGTAAGGTGGAAATATTTTAGGGTTTTTTTAAATGCTGTAAGTTTGAATTCTGAAAATGAATACCACTGCCTTAATATGTTTTGGAGAGAATGCTCACTAATTTTTATGAAGATGTAAAATAGCTAATATATTCTGCATATAGTTTGTTTTGCACCTAATAAAATATTTTGTTTTGCAATATTTTGCCTTTTTATTTATTTCATTTCCATAACTACACCTTTCCTGCATGTGAAATCACTTGGTATGCATATTACAGACTTGGTTGGCATTGTTTCAATTAACACATCTTCTCACATCTTGCATGCAACGAAGTCTAAGGATCTGACACCTCCATCACATCAACCTGTAATTGTTTTTAAGACGATTTTCAAATTGACAACACTAATATAAATAAAACAAACTTAAAAGAGCAAATTTTCTTAGCACATTTTTAAAAGAATTTCACTTACCTGAAGTCTCTTTTCTGCTGATATAGAACGTGGATGAGACATTCATAAATGTCAAAGTCAAATTTTACAACCAGAACTGCAAATTATAGGTGTGAGGCACAACTATAACTTGTGCAAGTGAAAGTAATGTGTTCTTCAGAGCAAGCTTCTTTCACAAATACTTTTCTTTGAGTAAATGGAATAGGCTATTTATTAAAGTAGATTATAAAGTATTTATAATTTCCATGGGGATGGATGGTGCTCATCACCTCATAGATGGGACCATAGGGAATGTTATGATGCTAAACTGTTGCCACAATATGGTGTCATGCATTGTCACACAGTCGCATTAACTGATAACAGCAAATCCAGTTTGAAAAGGCCATCAACATTTTTACACCATTTACATTCTAGAATAAACTCTACAAAACACTCTCAATGTTACTGTTCCATAATTTTCTTCATCCAGTTCATTTCACCAAAATCCTTAGCATGTATAACCTCCATGGTGAAGATGAAAATCTTATTTTCATCATGCTATGTGGTCATTCTGCTTTTAATCTTTGACTCTTCTTAAAATCTTTTATTTTACCATTTTATTTTACCATCTGTATAGACTGATGTCCATAGCATGTAATACAGATTATACATTGTGAGATATTATTGTCTCACTAGTCATTCTGGAAAATTAAAAATGCAAAGTAACTTGTATTCTGTATACTTTATTAAGCAACTTTAAATTAAAATACAGAACAAGTTAGTTAAAATTGGCAGCTAATTTAACAACCAGTTTTCCAAAATTTAAGTATTTTTGGTAAAAGTAACCTGGTGCATATTACATCTTTAAAAATAAACTCTTCAAACCATGTTTAGCATAAGAACTTCCTACATTTAACTAAAGAATCAAATGAAAACTGAACTGTTCAGTACAATGTATTTGTTCTCCTTGCTGAGTACCTATTTACTGAATAACAACTGAAGGATTTTCATGAAATTGCAAATAAGGCATGCAAAATAAATCTCTCACTGATGGACAAGTGCATAGTCACAAAAATTACAAGAGTGGTTGCTTTAGCAAAATTATGCAGCTGTTGGTGAAAGTATTTTCATGCATGGTGATAAACTAAATTCTTTCAGATGAAAATTAGAGTGGATTAGAAAACAGGGTCAATTGTCTATCATTTAGCACAGGCAAATACTGACAAGTTTAATGTGCCAAAAGACTAAACTTAGATTTCACTTTAAATTAGGTCAATTCAGGATTGAATCCCTCCTTCTGTATATGTTGTTATCATCAAGCTCACTTACTGGCGTGGCTATGTTTTTAAATTAGACTACTAAGTAGAAAAAAAAACTTTTTAGGAGGCAGTACATGGGGAGAAAGGCAATGTGAAACAGAGCCTTTCACCTCTTGGTTGCAGCTTCAAATTCATTAACCAACTCATTATCCTTTGGTGACCTGTGAAATGACACCGTGGTTGCAGCCCTTTTCCTAAAGGACAAGTGTCCATATCACAAATCAACTAACAAAATTTCCCTCATTTGTAGTTTTGGAAGCAAAACTATGGATGGAATGAGCATGGAAACTGAACTGTCCCTTCACTACTACTTATCTCTGCAGAACAGAGCCAAAACTCTTCTGCAGGGAGTTGTGGGGAAGCTAGAACCGCTGTCTGTCCATGCTACCTCTGTTTTGTGAATAGAAGATGGGGGGTGATTTTAATCTCATTTACACTGATGTAATTCCACTGGTTGCAGCAGAGTTACTCTTGTTCTGAATAAGGCCCAGAGCTTCAGCTTCCAGATCTTTTAATCCAGCTACTTTCACAAGCACATCAAAATTTAACAAAAGTCCCTCATTTGCTGAAAGTAGGAATACAGCTATTCCACTGAAATAATGGATCATAATGATGAAGAAGTGCGTGAAATGTGCTGAATATATTTTAAATGTTATAATTTTAGAGATCGTATACATGAAAGGATTTCTTCTTGGCACAGAAAATGGTTATAGAAAGTAGAATGTATTCTACAAACCTGGGATGAGTAGTGAATTGCTAGGTTTGAGGAATTAAAATGCTGAAATGTAGGGTTTAGCTAACTTCATTGCCGGTTTACTGTGGTTAACACTTAGCTTTATTACTGAAAGTTTTCAGAACAAAAATGCATGTCATTTCAGAATAGATACAATCTCCTCAAGGTCATAATATGATTTGACACTGTTTGATATTTTGTTCTGTAGCCTCTTCACAATAGTCATTATTTGCTCATGAAAGCAATAGATTAAATAAAAGATTCCACCTAACATGAAGTACTTTAGAGGAATGTCTAAGTCACCCATCCCTACAATTGGATCCATACAAGTGGACCTGTGTATCCACATGGAGCCTTGCGACGTTCAATGTTGCAGAGGCTCTGCTTGCATGGATTCGATTGTTGAATCAGGACTTTAGTGCTCAAATTACACCAAAACCTTAAAGGACACTGAACAGCACGAAAACCACCATGTGCTTTGACTGCAAATAAGGATCTATGGATTTCTTAATATTGGTAAATTTAGGTTTGTCTTGAATAACTTGGGATAGTCGGGAAGAAACTGACATTATTGTATAATCACAAATATATTGTTTTTTAAATGAAATCTTTCCTCAGGAGAGAGAACGAAGGTCACCGGCATTTAACCTCCATATAACCACCTTCCCTGAAAACAATGGAAGTGCACTTCAGCTGTTCTGTCAACAGGAAGGAATAAAGGTAGATGTGGCTTCATTAGCCCTTGCGATGGTTAGCTAACCAGGAGTATTATCAGAAACACTCGTGTAATCATATGAACACTTTAAATCATGGCTACCTTCGAAAGTACAGCAGTGATTCAGATGTAAGAAATATTTTTTTTCTGCAAAGAAAAAGATATGGTCAAGTTCTGAGAAAAGGAGGGTTTAGGATGAATAGCAGGGGAAAGAGGTCTCCTAGACTGTCGTGTATTCTTCTTCCAAAGGAAATGAAGGCCAGTCACTTGAGATATTTAGAAGTAGCTTGAACTAAACCGTAGAAAATACACAGTAGGGAAGAACATAATTGTATGATATGATTAGTTGATTTGTCATACGGCTCCACATTTATTCAATACTGAATGTACAGTTGCAGTCAGAAAAGTGGCACCTTTTCCATCATCGGTTATGATTCCTATAATGTATTCAGGAGGACCGAATTCAGCAAAGCACTTAAGCACCTCATTTCCCACAAATGTCAATAGCCCAATCTGCTGCACTTTTTTTCCCCCCAAACCAGATCTTTTTCTAAGCCTGTTACCCAATTTCAACATTTCAGTGAGTTGATAAATCTAAATGTGCTAAGACACATTCTGTCCTCATTTATACCCAGGTTGCTGGATATAACTGAGTACCATTTGATCCACTGTAAACATAACAGTAGCATTTGTGTCACTGTAATGCAAAACTAACATTCAGCTTTTGGAGTCTTCTTGCATGCAAAGGGGCATAAAGACCGTGTAAAAAAATTAGTATCTAATGATGTGTTTTCTCCTTTATGAATAATGAATGTTAAAAATATTTTCCAGGATGTGAATATTTCTGAACTTATGAAGAAGCTTGATATCCTTGGAGATAATGGGGTAACAATTTCTTTATTTCAATTACTCCCATGGAATGGCATGCCAGCAAATATGCATTAAGAGACTTTCTATGGCTATATTCAGTACCAAATGTTAGGGCCCATTTTTGCCAGCATAGATGCAATCCCTTCAATGGGAATTGACTTCAGTGGGAGTCACATCTGTGTTTTTCAGGACAGATGTGGGTCGCTGGTGAGTGGCACTAAAAGTTGTGGCACAGGGAATGCACAAGATATGGTGTAATAAAGGTTAGAACAAAATTAAGAGTAGGAAATAAGTTAAAGCTCATTTTTCTATATTGATTCCCTGAAATAGTAACACAGAAGTTTAGATTCTACAACAAAGGGTGCCCTAGAAATACCTTAAAAAGGAAAGATTATATCGTAGCTTTAGTCTGATCCACAAAGTTTGAGGGTTGGCTCTAGATTATATTCTATGCAGTGAGATCCAAAAGCACTTTCAAAGCAATCAGTATTGTGCTGTTCAATAACAAGTCTAATTCTTCAGTGCTCCCTTGGCTTTGGTGCAAGATTTTTTTGCATTAGGATGGCAGTCCAATGAATTGACATTTTTCCCATTTTAAAAAAAATCACTAGATTGAGGCCACCCTAGACCATGCTCTTTTTTCAAGGCATGGTGAGAATGATGCATTGAACTAACAAGTGTAGGGACTGTATTCACTTACTTTAGCTTTATTTATTTGTTGTCACTGGACATTTTCTGTGCTTGTCTTTTTAAAAAATAAAGAGAGCCAACGCTCTGTGATACATACAATAAAATCAAGATCTCTCTCACTTGTTTTGGAGAATGGATTTACAATCCAATGTGAAATACAGTTGCATCTTTTCTGTATTTTAGAATTTGAGAAATGAAGAACAGGTTGCAATAATCCAAGCTGGGACTGTACTTTCCCTCTGTGAAAAGGTAGATTTCAGTAAAGTTTTTTGTTTGCATAAACACTGAGCATACCATCCTAGAACCGGAAGGATGATTTGTCAGTGACGCATGACCTTTCTGTTAAATTAACATGGATGTGAGCATGGAGGCATCATAACCTGTGGCTTTATTGGGATTGTACTTGTGGGGGCCTGAATATACATTCAAACATTTAAAATATAACTTTAAAAATGAAAACTTCCTCTGGAGACGTTACCATTAAAACAAAGCTGTAAAAAAACTTTGGGATAAAAGAAGCCTAATCTGGGAAATGTCATCAACCTCAACTCCCAGTGACCTTTTGAGGAATTGAGGGTGCTCAGCACATCACTGGAGGTTCTCAGTGCTTTGCAAAGTTCATACAATGAAGACCAGTTCTGGGCCCATGTCTCCAAGGCTTCTGAAAACCTCCTGGAGCTCAATACCATCCTCTACTATGGAAGTCAGTAGAAAAAGAAAGTGCTCAGCACCTCACAGGATCGCTCCTTTCATGTGCCACCTTTGCACTATTTTGTAAGAACACAGGCTGCTAGTTCTTGAACAATTGACCCTTAATATCTTTCCATGACACAGCCACAAATGTATGTCTTTCAGAATGGTCTAAAAATACATACTGCCCTTTAATGTCCCACACTTTCCCTTTACCTAACAGTGTGTTAGTGAGAAATTCATTATAACCTTAACTTGCATGATGTTTTACCTCTTGGATCACACAGTTCAAGCACTTTTGAAAATTGCATTAGTCTCTTGTTATCTCCCTTCTTGTGCCACATGGGGAAGACAGAATTATGAAAACATGATTCAGTATTTCTGTTGTTAGGGCTTGGTCCTCTCCTGGGATTTCACTGAGCTAGTACAGTGGAGCTGGTTGTGCTGCTGTGTATTAAGTGGAGAGGTTTCTAAACTCCTTACTAAAGGATGTTTATCTCCCAACTGGTATGCCTGGCAGTCTTCACTAGTATAAAAATAAAGTCAACTGGTCTTGGAAATAGCAATTTCATTTTCCCATAGTCTTGTAGCCATTGGACAACTGAAATGTAATTTAACAAACCATTTATCATTCAAATAATAGTTCTCAAGCTGAGAATTACTTGTATGATATCACTCTCTCACACACATGCACATGTGCACACGCACCATTGATTTATCCTGCTGCCTTTTCCTTCTTGTGTAATAATCATCCATGTCCTTCAGCAACAGATCTGTGATCAAACAGAGCAGATTATTATGATCTCCTGATACTTACGAGTGAAAGAAGAAGGAAGAGGTCCAAGAGGGAATACATTTCTTTTAGTAAATGTGATCTTCGCTTGTTCAACATTGTCATAGGATAGGACCAAAAATATTTTCCACAGGACAGATAAATTAGACAAGTCACCCACTTCAATGTGACTGTAGAACTTGCTCTCCACTTTCTTCATTCGTAGAGAGAACATAGTAATGAAGCCAATAATTATTCTATTTAACTTGGCTAGGAAGGAAGACGTTTCCTTTCTACTGAAGAAGCTGCTATATTGCCCCATCCCAATAAGTCTGCCATTTATAGCTTTATATCTATACCTGCACAGGTCCATTTCTGAACTTCAAAATGGAAGTCTAGCATGAAAACTCCACCATTCAGATTAATTGATTAATGATTCAACTATGTTATCAGTGTAAACAAAATAAAACTGAATAAACCATTACAAACGTTGTATCTGTAACTTTGTTACAACAGACAATCATAGATCTTAAACTCTAATGAGAAAAAATTGAAAAATCTATGATAAATGGCTAGATCAGTAGACAAAAGGAAGAGCAAAATTACACAAGCAATAAGGGCTGGACTGTGCAGTCCTCACTCAAGCTGGTTCATATTCACCAGAGCATTGTCACTGAAATCAGTGGGACTATTTGAGAGAGTAAGGGTCACGGAAGCTAGCCCTCTTATATAGAAGCTTAGTGACCTCTTGCAGGTTATTTCCATTAGTGTCCAATCACAGCAATCCTGCCTCTAAGAATAAACTGTGAGTTTGTTGTCAATGTGGGAAATCCTTTATAACAATAGAAAAAGAAATTACAAAAGGGGCTTCGGAAAATAGCAGGTATCTTTTACACCTCCTCTGCAAAAAATCTGTTTTTGGTTACCTCATAGGAACTATTCCTATTGACAGTACTTCTGTTAGTCTTCAGCTGACCAGAGGAGGATTTCTATGGTAGTCTTACTGTTTAATCAGCTTGTTCAAAAAGGTGGAGTGTTTGGTTCTGTCCTTTTAACTAACACACAGGTTGTCTGATTTTAACATGAGAGTCTGTCTATGTACTTTTACACCACTGTCGTCAGAGTGCCTCACAATCAATTAATGACTAAAACTCAGTAATGAATTAATCCACATAGCACACCTGTGAGGCAGGGACGTATTATCCCTATTTTACTGATGAGGAACTGAGGCACGAGGCAGATTAAATTGAACCCAGGTCGTTCCATGTTCTATCCACTCAACCAGGGGGTGGGCAAACCTTTTGGCCCGAGGTCCACATCTAGGTATGGAAATTGTATGGTGAGCCATGAATGCTCACAAAATTGGGGGTCAGGATGCGGGAGGGGGTGAGGGCTCCGGCTGGCGGTGTGGGCTCTGGGGTGGGGCCAGAAATGAGGAGTTCAGGGTGTGGGAGGGTGCTCCGGGCTGGGACCGAGGGGTTTGGAGGGCAGGAGAGGGATCAGGGCTGGGGCAGGGGGTTGGGGTGTGGGAGGGGGTCAGAGGTGTAGGCTCCACGTGGCGCTTACCTCAAGCAGCTCCCATGTCCCCACTCCTGCTCCTACATGGAGGCATGCCCAGGCAGCTCTGCACACTGCCCTGTCTGCAGGTGTTGCCCCAGCAGCTCCCATTGGCTGCAGTTCCTGGCCAATGGGAGCTGCCGGGATAGCGCTTGGGTGGGAGCAGCGTGCAGAGCCCAATGGCTGCCCCTAAGTGTAGGAGCTGGAGGCGGGACATGCTGCTGCTTCCGGGAGCCGCACACAGTGGGGAAAGCCCCGGACCCCGCTTCCTGGCGGGAATTCAAGGGCCAGATTAAAACGTCTGGAGGGCCGGATGCAGCCCCTGGGCCGTAATTTGCCCACCCCTGCACTAAACAATCTCCTAATCCATGGAGGCAGCAGTAACTCACTGAAGTTTCTGCATGTTAAAATGTATCTGTGGGAGACATTTGTGGGAGACAGACTCCTTGGATTTCAATCACAGAGTCATTTAAATCAGAAATCAGATTTCCCCCATCCTCTTTACTGTAGAAACAGCTTCCTGTCACAAGTGTAGGTCATTTGAGTTGCTCTAATTACCAAATCCACCCATTCAGTCCATTGACTCCTTCCTTACCACGCTAATTAGGCAAACGCCACAAATGAAGAATTAAGGGTTCTGGGCCTCCCTGTTAAGCGGCTTTAAAGTGAACTGAAAAGGTGCTGCTGAACATGGGGTCTGATGCTTAAATAGGCAGGATGCTGCCTATTGTTGTGATGCTCTTAATTAAGGTCAAAGGTGCAGTGCAGTTAATGCTTAGGTGTTACTGATCTCAGCTGCTAGCAGGAAAATGCAGAATTCTGTAGTTAGGTCTCATCAGGTAGTGAGGGAAGAAATGACTATCAGCTATTTAAAACCATGACATTTTAGTGTGTCTGTATGTATATATAGGACAGAGGTGAGTGAGGTAATATGTTTTATTGGCCCAATGTCTGTCCTTAAATATCAGTAGAGCCCTAAATCACATCACATATCAGAGTTAAATCAAGCTATTTAAACAAAAGTTACCAAAGATTCATCACTCCCCCCAGAGTTCTTCTACTTAATATTCTAAGTGCCCAACCTTGCTCCTGCTAAACTCAATGGTGAAGCTCCTACCGACTTCAGTGAAAACTGGCCCTACCAAAAAAAAAAAATATCTAGATTGTGTTGTAAGGGAATCCTGTAACCCAATGAAGAAATGAAATAAAATAAAACCATGAACAAGAATGAGAATTCCCATCCGTCCTGACAGCCCGTAAAGCTGAATGTTAGCATACTCTTAGCCACCATTAATATTCAAGACGCATAACTGTAGTTTCCACTGTGTATCATCTTACAGTTGGAATGCAATGACCTTTCTTCTTTTCACCTTGGTCACATTTTTTAAAGCATAATAATAAGAGATTGATCGGATGGTAGCCACTGCATGAATTTCTTTACACAGTTCTTCCTACCCATCTTAATCTTCACCTCCAGGGCAGTGCCCAACGGGGGTGGGGGGGGGGGGAAGCAGGGACATGGGGACACAGAACTCCTCTGGCCCAGGGCCTGCAGTGAGGAGAGCAAGCTCTTCTGGCCCCAGGGCTGCAGTGGGGGCACAGAATGTGGTCAAATTTAAATTCCTGCACACACCCCTGTTCACCTTCAATGCCCCTCTCGTTCTAGTAATGAGCTTGCTCTCAGTAAATGCTGTGAATTGCGCCAACTAAAGGATGGATTCTGCAATCCTTCCTCATACAAATACTCCCACTGGTTTAAGTTACCATAAGAAAGGATTGCAAGGTTGGGCCCTGACACCAATGGGGTGGGTTTGTGATGTGGACAAATGTGCCTGGGGAGCAGCAAGGATGAAACCATCAATTAATTTGGTTTCTTGACTCCAGTCACATTTGAACCTAGGCCTTTAGAGGTGGAAGGATTAACCCTGGCACTGCAGCAGCCTCCACTCATAATTAGTCTTCCCAGTTCCCTCCTTCTCATTTATTTATTTGTAGTTTGAAAAAGCTGCACAGTTAATGGTGTGGGGAAGGGGATGAAGCATGCGATTGGCACTGTCATCAACAAAGTAACTTTCAATGACGCCCTTCCAAAGGCTGTATTCTCACCTTTTTCTATTCCTCTTGTTCCTGCCGTGTTCATATAGTGGCTAAAACAAATAGAAGGAACAGAAGCTGCATTGACACAGAAGATGATGGACCTGGAGAATGAAAAGGTAAGAAATGATCATTCTAAAAAAGTCACTCACTCAGCTAGATCTCCATTTCTGAGAGAAGTCGGTAAACGCGATGACATGTTATGTTGTTGCCGTTTTCTTTGTAGTGGGGATGACCTCATGGTGCTGTCAGGAATAGATTTATAAAACACTGTTTAATGGCTAATGCCTTTGATGTGTAGAGAAAAAACTAATTCAACTGAGACTGAAACATGGCTGTACCTGCAAAATATCACCCAAAAGGGTATAATAAGCAAATAGTATGAAACCTGTCAGTGTGCTTTCTAGGTATATTATTTTGTTTGGCAACAGCAGGTTCTTTGGAGTCTTGGAGTCAAATTTCAGTAGAATTGCACCCGGGATTAATTTGGCCTTTGGTGTGTAATATCAACTAATGAAGTCCTCTTCCTGCTTCTGCTTTTTTGCCATAACCTCTCTTCCCTCTCAAGGATGGATGAATTCCAAAGTGCAATTAAGTCTTTCACTACAAATTTGATATGATACTAAGCTCTCCTTTTGCTGTATGTTGTATGAAGATTTTCTGAATGAATGTTTAGTTTTGTTGATTTATCATGCATGTAGCGCTTTTCATCTTCCAATTGATGTACAAATACTGATTAAACCTTGCCATACATTTTCCCAGTAGATAGATAAACAATATTATCCCCATCTTACAGAAAGGGAGACTGAGGCTGATGGGTGAAGTGACTTTCTTGCCTTTGGCTGTCAGTGTCAAGATTAGAATTTGGCTTTATTGGCTCATTGTCTGGTGCACTGCCTTTGAGAATGGGGCATGATACTAATAATCATGTAATGCAAGGTGTGGGCCCTTTTATCTGTATTACACCAAGAATGACTGTATTTGTAACTCTGAGTTGGAAAATGTAAAAAAATAACATTTTTTCAGGAAAAAATGGAAAACACTAGATTATTTTAAAAAGTAAATTGGAACAAATATGTTGCGTCTCTCTAACTTGACATATAGATGTTTTCATTAGCAATCTGTGATATCTGTAATTCATGTTCACTTCAAGCTTCTGAGTATTTACGCACCAAGTAACTGTATGTATTTGCTCAGGTCAGCAATCTGTCAGTCTCAAAAGCAATAGTCACATCTTGCCCGGCATAACTTGTGTAATAAATATGAAAATATATTTTACGGTGAGATTTTCAGAAGTGCTCAGCATTGGCCTAGCTGCTTCCTGTGGGAGTAGAGTTAGACCAATGCCGAGTGCTTCTGAAAATCCCATCCTTATTACAATTTCTGACTCCTATTGCTGGTAGTGGCCACCTTGCTTAAATGATGGTGATATCACCTGCGAGTCAGTGTGGTCCCGTGGCTAGGGCACTAGACTGGGACTTGAGCAAGTCACTTCCCCTCCGTGTGCCTGTTTCCCTTCTCACTCTTTCTCCTGTCTACTTAAGTTGCAAGCTCTTTAGGGCAGAGACTGTCTCTTATTGTATGTTTGTACAGCACCCACTGGGGCCTGGATCTTGTATTGGGCCCTTCTGGGTGCTGCTGTAATAGAAAAAAATAATTAACAATAATTGTGCCATTGCCAATAAACATCCAGCATCCAAGACTGAAATAAGTTCCCATTTTGCTTTTATATTAGTTCATGGATCATTGAAAGAACTCCAGTGTTTAATAAAGTCTGAAAACATTAAACATTACAGTTTGTTTATGAATTATATCAGAATGAAAACAGCATGGAACCTTGTTCTAGTCTCCCATATTTGACTTCCATGCTGCCATTGTAAGAAATAATGGCTTATTTCAACAACTGGGGTACCTCCAATAATAAGGAACAATATATATAATTAGTTCTTATGCTTACTGACACTTCAGACTGTCAGGTTACTGGGCTTAGCAGTTTTCTTTTAAGCCAAATAACATTTCAAACAGGAATTTTGATTTATTACTAATTACTGATGTTTGTCCAAATTCTGTCCCTATACTTATGTGCACAATTCCCACAGACATTATTGGGAATTGCATTTGAAAGCAAACAAAACCCGGAGTCAATCTGAACATCTTTTCTTACTATTGACATAGGCCAATAATTTCTGGCAAAGCTTTCTGCTTATAAAAGCCTTTCGTTATACACACTAGCCCATTTTTTTATTTTTAATGAAAGCTAAAGGCCTTTATTATAAAGTACATGGATTTATATTTAAACTGCTTTTTGTTCCATATGTTGAGGAAACACAAAAGTTCATCTTTAAATAAAAATGACTATAAATGGTAAGTCTGACCAAACTGCCTTTCTGCTTTCTGGACTACTTGTTTATGAGCACCCATCACCACAAAAAGAATCCTATAAAGCCAGTATTTTCCAGCCTGATTATGGTGTTTACTTGTGCTTATTAAAAGTTCCAGAGCACTTTTTTCAAGAGCAAGTTTGCTGGTCTCTGTGTACTGGCTAAGTTCTAACTATTTAGAGTCTCATTCTAAGACTCAGTCTTCCTAGAGCTTCAGTTTTCGATATTGAGTTCCATGGAATCCTAATCTGTTCAGCATTTCAGTGACAGCAGATATGATCCATGTATAATATACAGGTGGCCGGTAAAACACCTGGTGGCCAGTTGGTCAGGAACAAACGTGCTATAGCAACATACAGATAAGGTATTATTATGAGGATGAGTGAGTTTAGTGATTGAAAAGTACTCAGAAATCCTCAGTGCTAATACTAGCTTCTGCAACTGTGTAGGCAAAGTCCCTTAACTTCTCTGGCCCGCAGTTTACCCATCTCAGACTAGAGTTACCTACCTTTATAGGAGTAATGTAAATTTAGAACCAAATCTTGCCCTCTGCCAGGCAAGTCTGATGGGAACCAGAGGGCATAAAGAACCTCTTTTCATTCTATGCTAGCAGTGGAGCAGGATCTCTGCCTTGCACTAAGGAGGGGTCCTGGACCCCACATCAGCTAGTCCCCTCCCCCCCACTTCCTAATTCAAATAAAATTTGCTGACTAGAGCACATAGCTGCACACTTGCCAAGCTAGTACATAGACTGAGGTCTGCAGCATGAACCCTTCAGGAGCATATATTACTCATTTTCAAAGGAGCAGTGAAGTGCACTTAACAACATGATTTTCTCCCCTCTCTTGGCCTGCCTTGTGTAAATAATGGCTCTTGTACTACACACATGGTGGACATGCTTCACCCGTCTCTCCCTCCTTTGTGTGTGCCTCTGTCAGATAAAGGCAGGATCTTGCCCTTAAGGTTTGTACTGTATTTTAGAGATCATCAAAGGAAAGGTGCTTTCTAGATACACATAGTTAATATGATGGTTTTTGATTAGTATTTTTTTTTAATCTAATACTCTAAATAGCCTAACTATAAATATGACCCATGGCTTTAGGTTCTCAGTTGCTTTCAGGTGACAGTGACTGAGAGATCGCATACCAAAAAAATGGTGAACTTTATGATTCCTCATGACTTAGGATAAAGAACAAACCCTCCATTGTTTTTATTATTGCTCAGGACCTGTTCAGTAAACAGAAGGGTTATTTAGAGGAAGAACTCGACTACAGGAAACAAGCTCTGGACCAGGCTTACATGGTAGGAAAAGAACAGTCATTAAATTTTCATGCTTGATCAGATTTGATAAAATACAGATGAAAAAATTTAAATAGGGTTCTTTTTTAAATGATTTTTTGTTCTGCTAGATTAGGAAACCAAAAATTACTTAAATGGAGGATAGATGACGCAGGAAATGGGTTAAAATAATTGGAATTGTTATTCTAAAATGTGCAAAATGCAACATTTTGGTGGTAGAATTGATTGCCAGAGCTAGGCTAACAGTGTGCACGGTGATCATGAGTAAAATATGCAGAAAATGACTATAAAACATTTCAAATGTTATTTTTCCAGCTATTTGTAAATATTTTGCTATTAACTTCTGCAAACCCAGAGATGTCCATCCTTTCCATCCTATCTATTTTAACCTCTTATAGACTTCTTAAATAAAATCACAGGTTTTGGTCGTCTCAGGTTGAGCAACAAAATAAGGAAAATCCTCTGAATTAGCACATTAGTGCACTCAGCTTCATTAGGTGGAGTAAAACCTCAAGAAACAGAAGTATTGTGGCATGAAGGATTGTTTACATATTGTAGGCTTTTCAAATTGGAAAAGAATTCTTAGGGAAGCAGTGTGGTCTAGTGTTTAAAGGAGGTAACTGGGAGATTGAGTATCTGTGTTCCATTCCTAATACTATGTGACCTTGGGCAACCCATTTAAACTCTCTCTGCCATAGTTTATGCATCTGTAAAATAGAGACAATTACCTACCTCACAAAGGTGTTGTGAGGTTTAGTGGGTTGCTATCAGATAATTTAGATCCAAATAATGTTGTTCTGGATGGTGTTCTTTCATATGATCATACAAAACATAATTGTAAAAGAAATAAGATGTCTTATTTTAGTCGGTGAATATAGATTTCTGTTTGGATTTTAACATTCTCTGCTGTTCGCCTCCCAAATATTGCCACATTTGGTTAGTGCATGAGAAACTGAAAGTAAAATTGACGAGAAACTAACAAGAAACAAAAGATTTATTGGTGTGCCCTAGCCCTCAAGTACCCTGACAGACCAGAAAACACAGGTGTTTCTTTACTTGATGAAATTTCTGATTCTGTGCTTTAACCTTTGATCCCCTTGAGAGACGAGTCTCTGGAATTGCTTATGATAACTCAGAACAAAGAGAATGAAGGAAACCTGGAATAACAGCAGATTAGAACGGTAGGGTCGGAGAGAGAGAAATGAGTGACAGGCTTTTTCTTGCAGTAAGTTGTTATATCACTTGCAGTTCTTCTTTTTGATGCCTTGTAAACAGTTTTATTCTCTAGGCTGATTTAACAATCCAGCTGCAATGAGGGAAAACACTTGTTTGGCACTAACCTTTTAACTTAGAATTGGCAGTGGGGCCCTGGTTGAATTGAACAAAAACTTGGCATCTGGGAAAATGCTGAATCTTTTGTCTTTCCCAACACGTACTGTGAACTCTGGTTAAATTAAACAAATCAATCATTCAAGTGAACAGAACACAAGGCCCATGCTGGAAACAGTCTCATAAGAACATGTGCACGGTGTATGGAATGCTCTTCACTGCTCACGAGTGCTGCTTTTCTGCTCTCTAGCTGTGTCCTTCCTCCCCGTTAAGCTTGGCTTGCAAGCGTTGTTGTCGTGTTGGTTTGTTTGCCTGCTGTATTCAAACGTGAGCCTGTTTGTGTGTGATTTGGGTTGGCATTAGAAAATCCAGGAGCTGGAAGCCACGCTGTATAACGCTCTGCAGCAGGACCCTGGAAGGCGGGCGAGTGAGTCCTTGAATGAAGTGCAGAGGGAGGATTTGCGAGCTGCGGTGGAGAAGGTGCGGAGGCAGATCCTGAGGCAGAGCCGCGAGTTTGATAGCCAGATCTTGCATGAGCGCATGGAGCTGCTGCAGCAGGCACAGCAGGTAACTCACCACTCCTTCGCCCCACATCACTGTTACCACAACTGTCACCACCATCATCAGCACAAGAGTACTACATCACTGTCACCTTGCTAAATTATTCCTAGTCTTATTATTTATATTGCTGTCATTCCAGGGAGCCCCAATCAGAATTGGGACCGCATGGGCACTGTACATACACAAAATACAACGGACTGTCCCAGAGAGCTTATAGTCTAAAGCCTCCATCTTGTAAATTGTTCCGTGTGAGCAGAGCTATGCTGACTTCAAGGGGGCTCCATGGACAGACTGGGTCTGCCTGCATAGAACACTGTAAGAGGCTGGCCTGCACCTTTAAGGGCCAGTGACCCTGTGTCCAGCCAGCCCTGTTTGATTATCTAATCCAGCTGAGAAGGGATCAGGTGGATAAAGGGCTGAATTTAGTCAGCTGAGAGCTGAGGCTGGCTCTTGTGACTGGCCCTGGAACAGGGAGAGATGCAGATTGAAAGGCTTCTGGACCCCCTGCAACCTGGGTTGGTCAGGGGAATAACTTGGTATTGTGTTACCGTGTGACGTTATTTGATTGAGTCAAACTGTGCCCTGAAGGAAGGGTCTGAAAGAGACTTGGAGGTCATGTAATTCCTTCCTTGGCTGGGGAAGATAGGCCGGTAGCCCTATATCTGGTGGAGAATGTGGGCAGGCAGACAGCTTCTGGAACAGAGAGAAAGATGAGGCAGCATAAGAAAAGTGGAGAACAGGAAAGCAGTTATAGAAAGGACAGTGGCAGAAGTGATGGTTAGCAGGGTTTACCTGGTGGATTCCCCCCTTCCTTTTTTAGTAGGATAGGATGGGAGGAGACATCCAGCTGTTGGCATCATAACAGTCAGCCACAACTCCTGTAGGGTCAACAAAAACAGTTCCTGAAGCACCTGCAGAAATGGGCTCCAGGGGGTCTTGGTGGTCCTGAAGAGGGCAGCTCAGGTAGGCCAGGCCATGGTAGGTGAAGTTGGGCTCAGAAGATGACCCTGAGGCTTTCCTCTGCACCTTTGAGTGAGTGGCCAGTGCTGCCAGCTGGAAGGAGTCAACTTGGGTGGCCAGGGTGGCACCATTTCTGACAGGGGACAGGAGAGGCCGAGGCAGTATACCAAGCCTTGAATGACAAGCAGTCTGGCTCAAATCCAGAGATAAAAGTTACCATTTTAGACAGACTGGAACTGACTCGAGGCATATCCTCACCTGTTCCACACTGAGCCATTTCCATGAGTAGTGGCCCAGTGGTAGTGGGACCTCATCACCCATTGTTTGTGGAGACAATCATGATTCTGAAATGACAATCTAATGATTCTGAAAGAATTCTTGCAGATTCTGCCTGTGGGAGCCCAAAGCTGGATAGGCCATTTTCAGCCATGATCTGTGGGTGAGGTAGTGGACAGAGTGGGGGTTGAGGGAGCTGAGCAGCAAGGCAGACTAACAGTACCCACTGGGGAAAGTGAGAATAGGAGGAGCTCTGACCTCGAGAGGCTGGGAAAACTCTCCAGGGGACCAAATCCTGCTTAGCCCTGAATATAGCTGTCAAGCTGTCTAGAGTGGCTTACAACCATGAGTGCCAACCTCAGGGCAGACTGTTAAGAAACAGGACACAAACCGATTGTGTGTTCTATACAGTACACCAACACAGTATCAAGTGTGAACTCCTCAAGCACTAGAACAGCCTTAACATGGAGTCACAGACAGCCCTCTTGAGCACTCCGGTCTATCTTGCCACCTAGGCAAGCCTGCCTTTGAGATAGATGGTCCCTTATACCAAAAATCACAACAATATTCAGGTTACTCCGAGTCCCAAAGGACCAGTCACTTACCCCAGATCAGTTGTTCCTCAGATCTCAAATCAAAGACAATGTTTATAGTCAGTCCTACAATGACAACTAAAGATTTACTAAGAAAAAGAGATAAAGGTTAAACATACACACACAAATGAGTTACAGTCTTAGTTTCCAAAAGATTATAGTAGCTGCTATATATGCATGCTCTATATGTCCTTTAAGGCTAACATTAACTAAGTAGGTTGGGGATCCCTTTCTTATGCTTTGAAATATTGCCCTTTCTGAATTCCAAGCAGCATAGTGATGGTAATTTCTCCTTAACAGGGATAGTTATTCCCTTTCCCCCAGTGTTTGAGCTGTGATGGGACGATGGCTTCTGCATGTACCCTCTTCATGAGGGGGAGGAAGCAATTAACAGTCTTTTAGCCACTGATGTTCCTCAATGCTTTGTCTGGTGTCTATAGGCCTTCCTTTGTTGAGGAGTTGACGCCTTTTGTGGTAAACTAGTGTTTCGCACTTGGTAATGCTTCTCTCCTGATCATGGGGGTTTACAGTCTTAGCAAACATTTTTATAGTTAAAGAGCAAACTCTTAAATATTATCTTATAACATGGAATACAGATGATATATGTAAGATTAATACATGCAGCATCCTACCCGCATTTCATAAAGTCTAAATTCTAAACACATTCTTTTCAACTTAACATCTATTTTAACAGTACTAGCACAGGCGAGCCAGACTGGTTTCCAGCGATACATTTGTCCATGTTCAGTGAGGCCAGGGGCTGTGGAATGAGCTACGACCCAGTCTGCTAGTGTCGCACTCCCAACACCAAACGGGTGCGGGAAGGAGTGTCACCGATACTCCTGAATACGCCTCAAGGCCCCACCCCCCCTATTCTTGAGAAGGCATCTGCCACTACATTTTCTTTCCCCTTGTTATGGATTATTTCCATGTTATACTCTTGCAGAGCTAGGCTCCAGTGTAACCGCCTGGAATTGGTCTCTTTACTCCCAACTAATATGGTTACAGTGAGATAAGCTTTAATTGTATAATTTAAAAAATGATGTTTTAGCAGACTAAGTTGCTTAACAGCCCAAATGATGGCATAGCAGCCCCACTCGATGACAGCATAGTTCGTTCAGGGGGGTGTGGGCGGGGGGGGGGTCAGTTTTTTACTCAAGAAGGCAACAGGATGCCTCTCGTCCCCCACCCCAATGTTAGAAATATGAGTGCACAGCACAAAGGGTTTGCTGAAATCAGAGCTGGCTAAAACTGGCTCTTTAGACAAAGCCTCTTTTATGTCCTTGAAGCTTTTCTCCCAGGCCTTGGTCCATACCACCTGGTCTGGCTTCCTCTTTTTTTGTGAGGTCTGTTATGGGGTCCACCATATCACTAAACCCTTTACAACTCTCCGGTAATGGTTGGCCAGACCAATAAAGGATTGGGCCTGCTTCTTGGTTTGTGGGCCACACCAGTTCTGAATAGCTTCTACTTTTAAAGGGTCAGGGTGAACAAACCCACTCCTCAACCTGTGTCCTAAATAAGATACCTCTGCACTCCCCATCTTACTTTTGGAGACCTTGACAGTGATGTTAGTGTCTTTAAGCCTCTGCAATACAATTCCCATATCATTCAGGTGATCTTGGCAGGAGTCACTAAAAATAGCCAAATCATCTACATAAGCAGTACTTCATTGACAAGCCTCTAAAAGGTAGCCCCTGCATTAATTAATCCAAAAGGCATAACCTTAAACTCATGTAGACCAGATTCCACTATAAAAAATGATTTTTCCTGGGCCTCAGCATCTAAGGAATTTGCCAATTCCCTCAAAGTGAAATCGGGTGTGCTTATGAATGTTGTCCCACCCAATAAGTCCAGTTGGTCCTCTATCCAGGGTGTGGGGTAAGAGTTAAATTGGGTGATAACATTTTGCCTCCTAAAATCCACACAAAATCTCAGAAAGGGTTTTATCCTTTTTAGGGTATCACAATAATAGATGCCCAGGGGGCTTTTTGATTTAGCTACCCCCTCCCCGTATACAGTATGCTTTCCACTTTTTCCTGGATCTGCTTTTGCATTTCTCCTTTAGCACTAGCCTGAAAACTGGAGTATAAAATAAGACTTTAGTAGAATCATAGAATCATAGAATCATAGAATATCAGGGTTGGAAAGGACCCCAGAAGGTCATCTAGTCCAACCCCCCTGCTCAAAGCAGGACCAATTCCCAGTTAAATCATCCCAGCCAGGGCTTTGTCAAGCCTGACCTTAAAAACCTCTAAGGAAGGAGATTCTACCACCTCCCTAGGTAACGCATTCCAGTGTTTCACCACCCTCTTAGTGAAAAAGTTTTTCCTAATATCCAATCTAAACCTCCCCCACTGCAACTTGAGACCATTACTCCTCGTTCTGTCATCTGCTACCATTGAGAACAGTCTAGAGCCATCCTCTTTGGAACCCCCTTTCAGGTAGTTGAAAGCAGCTATCAAATCCCCCCTCATTCTTCTCTTCTGCAGGCTAAACAATCCCAGCTCCCTCAGCCTCTCCTCATAACTCATATGTTCCAGACCCCTAATCATTTTTGTTGCCCTTCGCTGGACTCTCTCCAATTTATCCACATCCTTCTTGAAGTGTGGGGCCCAAAACTGGACACAGTACTCCAGATGAGGCCTCACCAATGTCGAATAGAGGGGAACGATCACGTCCCTCGATCTGCTCGCTATGCCCCTACTTATACATCCCAAAATGCCATTGGCCTTCTTGGCAACAAGGGCACACTGCTGACTCATATCCAGCTTCTCGTCCTCTGTCACCCCTAGGTCCTTTTCCGCAGAACTGCTGCCTAGCCATTCGGTCCCTAGTCTGTAGCTGTGCATTGGGTTCTTCCGTCCTAAGTGCAGGACCCTGCACTTATCCTTATTGAACCTCATCAGATTTCTTTTGGCCCAATCCTCTAATTTGTCTAGGTCCCTCTGTATCCTATCCCTGCCCTCCAGCGTATCTACCACTCCTCCCAGTTTAGTATCATCCGCAAATTTGCTGAGAGTGCAATCCACACCATCCTCCAGATCATTTATGAAGATATTGAACAAAACCGGCCCCAGGACCGACCCTTGGGGTACTCCACTTGATACCGGCTGCCAACTAGATATGGAGCCATTTATCACTACCCATTGAGCCCGACAATCTAGCCAGCTTTCT